TTACCTTCTATATTTACCTTTTTATACCCTATTTTAATTTCCACCTCTAGAATTTTTTCTTTCACTTCTTTAACCTGTGTCCCTATTATTTTTCTTCACACATATATATACATATATTTGTCCTTTTAATTTACTACTGTTTTTTATTCCCACCTCAATTTTTAATGTTCTTATTAAGCTCTTGATTTTCTATCTTCCAATCTTCTCCTTTAAGCTCTATTTCACTTACTGTAGTATTTAGTACTTAATTTCTTTTCCAGCCTAACTTTTCTTTCCAATTCTCTTTCCATCTTCATCTTTGAAAACGAATAGTCGATTTTTGAGATCTTTTGAATGTTTTTTAAAAATTATTGAAAAGTTAGAATTTCTTACTTTCCCTTTTTTGTAGGTATTTTTTACACTAGCCTACCTCCATAAGATTTTTATTTGCGCACTAATTTAGGCTAGAGTTCCGGAAACCGAAACCCTCAGAACCACTTAAAATTTCACAGAAGTATCAATTATACACTAAAAGAGAGTACAGTAATTCAAATTCTATTATAATAGTTTAAAATTCATATTAGGTAGTACTGTATTTTTAAACAGTAAGTTACTTCTTTATTCAAATTAAGACGTCTAAATTATTAAATTAAAGAATGCATAAACAATACGCAATTATTAAGAAAGTCAAACTGTTATGGAAATATTGGAATTTTTTTTTCTGTTTCTGAAATAATTAGCAAGCTTGCAGGAGGTTATAGGACACTATAAAACAAAAAAATTAAGTAAACGTTTATCGTTCCGAAAGTCCATTGTTTTTCGAAAAAAACGTACTTGAAATTCAGTCAGGGGCCAGTCCGGCCTTGGTAGGATCACGGAGGGAAATACGACATTACAACGCCCAGTCCAGCAACTACAGCATCCGTGTCGTACGAGTATTTCTTTTGTATTTTGTGTTCTTAATGCCACATCGAGTCGTACTTCAAATAGTACTGCATACTATCAGCGATGAATAAAGTAGTTCTCTAATTAATATTGAGAGCATATTTAGTGATATTGGCTTTTAACAATCTTTGAATTTAGAAAAAATATTTTTATACCGCAATACACGATTCCAATCGGGAATTCATACTCCCGGTGAAAGACTCCAAATATTTAGACACCAAATCGTTCCAAATGGTCTCGATTTTGACCATCCAATTGTCAATCGACCATTCAGTCTCTTTCTCAGGGATATCTTTCATTAATTTCAATTGTGTAGCGCTCCTAGTTTGATGATTGTTCGCCAATTGTGTTGAGCGTCGTCTGTCGTTGGCATCGAGTAGTGGAGGTCTTCCCAGTCCGGGCCTCTGTTCGACCCCTTCACCCGCTCATAGCCATCTGGTATTGCGGTCTGTGTGGCCTCTATCCCAGTGCCACTGGAGTGTTCTTCTGGCATCGAGCGCCGCGTTCTTGTGGCCAACGTGGCCAACTTTGCTCTTGTTTTCCATCAATACTATTGATAATTGTATGGCATGTGACACAACAATCGATCGGTAATTTGACTCTCAATTGAAACCTGTGGTTTGTTTGCATGGTAATCACCTAGCATCAAATTAATCAATCAAAAAATAAGTGACATAATTTTATCGCTAAATCTGCTCCCAACTTTAAATGTTATCGCTATGGGCGTCAAAAGATTATTATGTGTAGTAGCATAATGGTAAACTGTTAATGTTTACTTCATTATATAGTCGTTCCACAATCGTCCCTGTTTACATTTTTCATCAATATGTTTGTTTAGTTGTTATCACGATTTTTCTATACGTTGGAAATTCAGTCCCCAATACCGGCTCTGGATTGCAACTTCGCCTGCTTTTCTGCCAATTTTTTTTATCTCTTAACCACGCTGCTTTACTCACCATGTGATTCCGTAATTGCATCTAGCTAACATACTTAAAAGCTTGCTACTTGTTTCATAAACACACCCAACGAAAAAGTAGCCTAAATATAAGGAAAAATGTGATTGATCCAATGTATCTCGACATTAATTTTGAGCCGATGCTGAAGGTCATTAGCCTAATGTTCTACTGTTGATGGTTTTATCTGGAAGTGATTGTATTAATGTCCACTGCTGATCAGTTAATGGCAACCATTCCTCACTACAAAGTAAGAAAGTATCAAGGTAATGGTTTTGTCACAATGTAGTCTGTACCTTGATCAATCATACGTATTCGTTGTAGCAATGTTGGCAAGCATTGTTTAATGTATTAGAACAACAACAACATAATTTTTCTCTCTGATAATGTACGAGGGTGGATTGATAAGTTTCCGGCCTAACCAAGAGATGACGCCACTAGGCCTACCTTGAGGTGACATTCTATAGTACCATCCTTGGATAGCTTGTAGCTATAGTTTCAGCCCGATCTCCTTGCTAGTGTAGGTTTGACAGCACGCTGAACAAGACGCCTCTGTGGTTTTCGTAAAAATGGAAAAGCAGGAAAATCGTGCTGTCATCAAATACTTTTATTTGAAGGGGTTAACGCCGAAGGAAATTAAAAAAGAGATGGACTCAACACTGGGGACATCCTCCCCGTCATATTCAACCGTTAAGCAGTGGGTTTCCGAGTTTAAAAAGGGTCGTGTGAGCACCTCTGATGGGCCTCGCTCAGGACGCCCCGTTGAGGTCACAACTCCAGATATGATCGAAAAAATTCATCAAATAGTGCTGGGAGACCGCAGATTGAAAGTGCGTGAGATAGCTGAGACCTGTAAGATGTCATATGAACGTGTGCAACATATTTTGCACCAACATTTGCATATGGAAAAGCTCTGTGCAAGATGGGTGCCGCGTTTGCTAACAGTCGACCAAAAATTGATTCGAAAAAACATTTCTACCGCAAATTTGTCATTGTATAAGCGTAATCCAAGCGAATTTTTGCGTCGATTCGTAACCGTTGACGAAACGTGGGTCCACCACTACACTCCTGAAACCAAAGAACAGTCTAAACAGTGGATTGGACCAGGGGAACCAACTCCAAAGAAGGCAAAAACAATTTTTTCGGCGAACAAGGTTATGGCTACTGTTTTTTGGGATGCAAGAGGTATTATATACATTGATTACCTTGCAAAGGGTAATACTATCACTGGTCAATACTACGCAGACTTATTGCAACGTTTGAGCCACGAGGTGAAAATTAAACGACCTCATCTGGCGAAGAAAAAAATCTTGTTTCATCACGATAACGCACCAGCGCACACGTCAATCGTTGCGACGGCTAAAATCAACGATCTAAAGTTTGAATTGATGCCGCACCCTCCTTACTCTCCAGACCTAGCCCCGAGTGACTATTTTCTGTTCCCTAATCTCAAAAAATGGCTTGGCGGTAAGAGATTTGCGGACAATGAAGAAGTAATCGAAGCTGTAAATGGTTATTTTGAGGAGCTTGACGAATCAGTCTATAGAGATGGCATTAATAGACTGGAACACCGCTATGAGAAATGTATCAGCCTTGGAGGAGATTATGTTGAGAAATAAAAAAAAAAAATTTTTAAAAACCTTGTTTTTCTTGGTCAGGCCGGAAACTTATCAATCCACCCTCGTATTTACCATGGTTTATATGATTTTTGTCATTAGCAGAATGACATTACTACATTACCATAATGACCAAGTAACTATTACTATAACGAAAATGTTAATCACTCAATCATTCAAATTCATTAATGTCATTACCGCAAAACATTAGCCAAATGAACAAGGCCTTATTACAACGAAATTTTAGTAAATCACCATATATCATTAATATTAGGTCAGTTATTTTTTTCAGTGCACCGTGTATAATGCTGTGTCTGGTAAAAATCTGAAGCCAATCGGAGGGTTCCGCTTTTCGGAACTGCACTAATTTGTTTCATACGTTCTCAAATGTATTTTAATGATCAGTGGTTTAACAACTTTATTTAAAGTCGAAACATCACAGTTTACTGCGCATTTTGCTCTTTTTTATAGAAGAAGCATATATCGTTATTCAACAAATAGCATAATTCTATTTTAGTTCTCTTATTAGGTATTGTCTACTTAATGAACGGAGAATTCAGGTATTTGAGTAAATACAACATAAAACCTAATATAATACAATAGAAGATAAGAAGAGCGTTTGCTCACTTTTGGACACCTTCTGATGTGAGGAAGGCTGATGCCCTAAAGGGAAAACCGGTGCACTCTAGCGTAAAATCGTCATTTGATGGGCTACGGTCGATCTACTGCCTTAAACATATCCTTACTGGTTAAAAGGGCTGCCAGATGTAGACAAACATTTAACCACTTTCTATATTTACTCTCTTTCTTCAATCTGAAACCATTACTTCAAATTTGGTTGTAGTTCGCGTACCACCTTTACTTTCTTTGAATTTTGACAATTACCTGTGAATTTGTGATGTAGATAAGTAAACACAAAATTTTTGTGTGTTTTTACATAATAACATATACCTACACATCTATTTATACCATGACGAAATGTCAATAAATGTAATTATTTAGTCGTATTTTTGTTTTTATTTCTCTTTTCTTAATGAATATGTATAACATTATTTGCACATAAAGATTTATCGAACAATTGACTGAGGAAATTAGCAGAACATTTTAAAGAGAAAAACGCTAATCAGGAAATAGTAAACTAAAAAGAACCTTACGCAGATCATCGAATAAGATATAACCACGATTTTAAGCTGAAGACTGATAGTATCAATTTCAAGTCTGTCACTAACAACAATCAACGATTTAATTCAAGGCTGGTACGATAAATGGAACGTGGCTTTAATGTATTAAATCAACAGAAATCATAATGAAAATTAATTTAAGAAATACTGCTTTATTCATTTTTTTATTAATTGTGTACCAAATAAACGGGGTAACACTTCATGTTGTTTCTATTTTGGACTTGATTTCAAATTATCCATTGCGCCGAATAACATGGTGAACTATGTAAGTATAAATAAAACAATAGAAGTCAGGAATTCCACATAAATATAACGTCATATAGAAATATAAAACACGTTAGGTACTTAGTTGAAATTCCCCTCTAAGAATTTTGAAAAATAATCTACAAGTTGAACGAAGATGAATAATCTTCTGTGTTTCGAAATTAACATTGGAATTTAACTTTCGCCTCGGGTTCAGCATTTGGCGACGGTAACTGATCGACGTGGTTGTTGTGCCGCTCTGTCAAGCCTGCTTCAGGGCATTTACCCTATTATAATTATTCGAAAAATACGTTACAGAAAAGTAAGCTCTTTATTACGATATTAATTGTTGGACAAAGTGAAATGTTCCATCTTCTATTCGAATGCATGCTGGTAGTTTGAACTTCTAATGCTTATATTTTTTTTTTGAAAAGAAACGATCAAGTTTTTTCGTAAAAGAGGTAAAATCTTTAAGATACACCCAGCCATTGGATTTTCTCGATCTACACAGTCTGAGCAAGCATTATAGTGGTTGCGTTAACGACTACTCAAGCAAATAGTTTAAGGTTATTTTAAAGGTTTTCACGAAAAAAATTAACGGTTATTTTACCATTTTTAGTTCCTAATTGGATAGCACTTCAGTATGATATAATTCAAATACGGTGCAGGACTAGTAAAAGAAGCTAATTAGCCAAAATAGTGAAGGTGAAGTTGCAACAATTCTTTTTAAACTATGGTTACATACTTATTTTCACAGTATATCCTGTGAGCTACCCTGACACAACATTTAATAGGTATATATTATAATCCAACTGAATTTTTAGTTAACTACTAACAAGTTTTTTGGTCTATTTAGGGTCGGATTTACGAACACAGGAGAAGACGCGGAATAGCGCTATTAGGGGAATAAAGTCGGAAAGCGGTTTAACAATTCTCACTTATAACCCAGGAATAGAACATTCATAACCTAACCTAACCTAACCTAACTCAGAAATAGAATATTCATTAAGTAAACTTCGGAGTAAATTCTTACGTACCAACAATAAGACAATAAGGTCGATGAGACTGCAAATAAGAAGTACATAGAACAAATTTAGTCCTAAATCACCAAATAAACTAATCATAAAATTGCAATTACGGGGGAATCAAAGTAACTGATATCATGCGGTTGGTAAAGAAAGCAGAAATGAAAATTATTAAGGAGATTATGCAAAAGTGCAAGTAATAAACTTGCTTATATGTTTATATACAGAAATTAAATGCAAAAGATTAAATTAAAACAGAAATGTACCAATAGATATATAAATATTACTGGTGTGCGAATAATACTCAAATCCAATATTACCTACTATTCCATTCGAAATTCGAATGGAATATTTACAACACAACGAATTGTTCGAATTTTTTCTTTTTATTCGAATAATAATTAAACTATTTATTTTAAAATCTACAAAAAAAACTTCGATATTTTACAATTTCCTCAGACGCTTGCGTGGGACGATTCTAATGCTTGCACGAAACAGTTCTCTACTACCAATACGAAATATTTTTTTATAGTTCTAGGAATAGCTACTTTGGGACTAAAAGATACTTGTAAAACAGTCTACTATTCGCCGAAATATTTAGGGAATAATTTAACTCCAGGAACTAAACATTCTCTTAGCTAAGTATATATTTGTAAAACCTGCCCTTACTATAAATGCTGAAATGACTTCAATATTTACGTGATAGTACTTACACTTACAATAGTTGCCTGCCAGTATAATAGGTACGTACCCATGACACAAAGAATACCGAAGAAGATGCACATTAATAAGCGGATAAATATAACGTCACCTTGTGAGAGGTAGACCTACATTAGATTACTGTTCGCAAATAGTTAAGGATGTGGGTTGTTCTCGTTTTGGGGAAATACGAAGGTTAGCTCAGGACAGGAAGTGACAGTGGAGGTACGTGTCCGACCAGTCTTAGGACTGACGATCTTATGATGATCATAGGATGAACATCAAGGAAATGAACAAGTAAAGCGCAACATAAAAAAGTTTCAGCAAATACCTAGTAATAATAAGTCAATTGGTTCGAGCTAGTAGGTCATTTTCAAGAGTACAGTCGTTGCATTTTACTGTGTCTACTCTTAAAAATGAAAACCATTTAGGTTGAAACAATTGTCGAGTGTTTAATCGCAAATGTAGGTGTTACGTTTGTTAAAACAGATTTTTGTTTTACTAGTGTTGAAAACGCTTAAACGAAGCCTACTTCATCGTCACGGAAAGATGCGAAGAAGGGGCAAGAATCGATATTTAAACGATGAGAGTGAGCAAATCAGTCAATCAGTGGTATGTCGTACGCTATACGTGACATAAGCACTGGGTATAATTAGAAGGACAATATCGTTCTTATTACTATGTTAGGGTAAATTTGTGACGATTGATAATAAACAATGCAGTATATTTTGTGTAACAATAATATGTAAGTCACAGTCCATTAATAAAGAAACGTAATATGCTATTCTTATGATTTCGAAAACTACCTAAAATAATTCATGACTGTTAGAAATCGCCAACGTCTGCCGGATTAATTAAAAAAAGAAAAAAACGATTATAATTAAAATTTACAAGTTATAATAAATGTAAAAAATAATAAGGACCGGATGGTATTTATAAACAATAAATAGGTATAAAATTGCTTGGAGTAAATGATGAATATGATAAGTAGACCTACTTAAAAAGAAAAGGTGTGGTTGTAGATAAAACATTAAAAAAGATTGTATAGATGAAATTATAATAGTGAAAATAGTGAATAAGAATAGTCAGAAAGAATACCTACAATAATAAGCGCTAAAATAAGCGATACAGACTGACTATTTAAAGGCGCTACAGGGATTAATGAAAATATAATTTTGCAGTTTCATTTTGGCGGTAGTAACGAAAAGAAAAGGGTAAAAATTAAGTAGAATATGAGGTACCTACCTACATCGTGTTAAGTGAAAATGTTAATAATGAAATCATGCATATAGATGACATGTAGCCAACCCTACTGCACTATTGGGGAAGGTATGGGGAATATATCAGCAGCTAAGTTAAATTATTTGGAGAAGATAGATGACGTTGTGTAATATATTAGTTAGAAGTATTGTGTTTTATGGAGTAGAAATATGAGGTTGAGGAGAATACTATTAAGTATTTACAAAAACACATAAAATGTACACCTATTGACATAAAAAAAACTGAAAAAGTAGGTATTCCAAATTGTATGTTATTAAAGAAAACTAAATGAGGGAATATAGGTAGTTGCGAAAATAAGGAAGAGTGACTATGGATATATATAAGTATGAAGAAAAATTAGAGGGACGTATCAGAAAGAAAGTATTAAGGAATAGAAACGAAACGAAAAATATTAGTACCAATTTGATTTGATTGATAAAAGGAATAGTCGATTTTTTAATTAGCCTGATTGGTAGTCAACATAAAACATCATATATTAATCCTAAATGTTTTTATTGACAATTGGTTTTAGTTTTATGTATTTTTATTGTTGAGTAAGATCGCCTTTGTGTTCAACATCTTCTAACAGTTGCGAGAATTACTATATCTGTGAATCTTTTTTATTAATAGTAAGATGCTTCTTCCACATACATTATTGCAATAAACTATTACCTTAAAAGACGGTATTTATTTTCCAATGTGTTTTTATTTTAAAAGGCAGCCTATGAAAGAAATGTGGGATGTACCACCCCAAATTTGTTAGGTACTACTTAGCACTGATACTTAAACAATTGCATATACTTAAGTATATCCACTGTAAACATTCCATCACTGGTCATTGTCTTTCGTTATAAGATAATGGTGTATTTGCATCAATTTTTCAAAATTTTGCTGAATCCTGTATGTAGAAAAGTGTTTGAACGTCGCTGGCACAGTAGGATGACTAACTATAACAAATGTAAGAAAATAAACTTTTCTTTGTGCATCCTTTCGTGAGCAGAGGTTACGGGGGTGCTAGGTATTTACGCTTATGATAGATAGGTAGTAATCTGATATTTTTAAATTTTTGTCCTTACGTATTTTTTTCTCCGAGCCTAAGAGTTTTATCTATAAAAGTCTCCAAATCTACCTACACGACTCAAAAAACAATTTCTTTCCATTCATCCAGAATTTATTCTGCCATCCTTTTACAATAAAGTATGAAGTGCAGCCGTTTTATTCAATATTGCTGTCAGATATCAAAGTGACAGCTTCATTTGTCTCGCTTTCAGTTGCTATAGGTTCCAAAGATGAAATCAACCACTTAAACTGTTAAAACAGCTGTCATCTATTGGCTTCACCTTGCGCATGAATTTAATTCAACCAATCAGAAGGAAGGGGTGGATCGTGTCGGATGCCACACGAAGGGGCTGTGGCAGTGATTTATAACTCATTTTTCAAATATTGACTGGTAAAGTGGGAACAATAAATATTTTTTGCTTGGATTATTTCGGTACATGTGTTAATTTATTTTGTGTAAAGAATTTATAATATCAAAAGACAATGTGTATGTAAACGTAAAGAGAATTTTAATTGTGAGAATTGGTGAATTTATAGAGATAAGTGAAAGTTAGTTTTTACTGCTTCTGTTTGTGTACTTTAGTGTTCGGGGTTAGGTACGTTTCATGTGCACATTGGAACAATTAGGAAAATTACCAGAAGGACGAATAACACTAAAAAACAAGTGCTAAAATGGTAGAGTTTTCTGCTCTTCATAAAAGACAGCGTTCATCAAACCCTTTTTCTTTCTGCAACGGTCGAAATATGAGCGAATTTATTAAAGAGAAAGCATCACCGTTGAGAGGAGATTTTAAATTATTAACTGAACGTTCGTTAATTGCAAAAATGAGTAGCATAGCCGGTAATTCACATGAAGACACTGGTAATGAGACATTAAACTTCACTGGTCGAACTGGAAATTCGAATTTTTCAATTGAAAGTATCTTAGCGCAAAAACCTAGGCAGGCGTCTAGTTGTAAATCAAACTCTCAACAATCTTTGCATTTAGAAACGTTTGCAACATCCGCTAATGCTGCATACAGGACTGCATCAACCGATTTCCTGAGTAAGTTTGCAGTAGTCTGTGTGTTTAATAGGTAAGGTAGGTTATTACTTAATTTAATTGGACTGTAATACAAAATTGGAAAACATCGAAATGATGTTTAACCAAAACAACTTTACAATCGTAATTTAGAATATTGTTTTTTCAAAGATAAAACAAATACAATGTGCGTATGAGAAACAGTAAGACACACAGTAGGAAAAGGAACTCTTCGCCCAAGTAATAAGCGTTGAATAAAATTTTTACTCTATTAAAGAACATGTTTTTCTTTTTTTCGTAGTTTCCTTCAGCTTAATTTTTAGAGGTTTTCAAATTTATGTTTGTTTTCTTCTTATTCTACCTCGCCTTATAATGATAGGTATGATACAATTCACACATTTTAAAATTTTGGCGGACAGCATACGTAGAGACATACAAAGTATCTTTTATCGAATATACTTCATGTTTTTGTTTTTGTTTAATTTTCACGTCGTAAAAGATCTAGTCTACTGTGACTGATTCTTTCTAGGAAAATACAACAAACGCAAAGACGCAAAATAGCGTTAATTTATTATGCATTTCAATCTTCCAAATGCCTTCTAGATATACCTGAATAAAGGCAATTTTATATTTTCTTCTACTAATTCTGTTTATGAAATTATTTAATTAAATAGATAGGTGAATTTACCTGAGGTACCTAACAATAGACAGGAAAGTCAAAGTATATTTATTCAGTTCTTGTACAGATTGCAGGGTTATCGTTGATGCACATGTCCAATATAGGGGTGTTTAACTTTCTTAAACACTCCCCAATAAAGCATTTGCCTGCGCTATTTGTGCATTTTTCTGTATTTTATCACTGTTACTGTTCTCCATTACATACTCAAAGGGTATATACTTGTATACTTTTCACCTTTTCTGTTACTTCCTCTTGTCTTCTTTACCTACTCCCTGTTTTCTTTTATCTTTCCATCCTGTATCTTCTCAAATTTTATATACTTACTTTGTCTTATAAACATTCAACTGCAATCTTTTCCCTTATAAATACCTATCTAGGGTCCTCGTTATTTTTGTCAATACACTACTATTCGTTGATAGCGACAAAATTTTCCTCCACGAACTCTTTAGTGTTCTTTGAAACATGACTTGGTACTGAGTCTTTACGAAAAATGAAGGTACCATTTGAGTACAGATGGTGAACACCTCTGGCC